ATAACATTTTGAATATAGAAATATTAAATGATTTAAATAACTGAAAAGATACTTTAAAAATTAAACTAACTGGCGGCAAGTCTTATTTTTATCACTGATCATTCATTCAATTGATTCGTTCGAACAGCTGTAGAAACCGTTGAGGCTCCCCTGAGCGCAATCACAAGTATGATGATGATCGGGTCAGTTGCACTGGTGCTCCTAAAAAAAATGTCATAGTTGCACGCAGTAGTTTTCAGTCGCAAATGAGACTCATCAGCATCTTGATATGCCACACCTGTGAGGTGGATGGATTATCTCGGCAAAGGAGAAGTGCTCACTAACACAGATTTAGACAGATTTGTGAACAATATTTGAGAGAAATAGGCCTTTTGTGTACATAGAAAAAGTCTTAGATCTTTGAGTTCAGCTCATGAAAAATGGGGGCAAAAACAAAAGTGTTGCGTTTATAATTTTGTTCAGTGTATATATATATATATATTTTTTTTTTTACTTAAAAATACTCACATAAACCCATTATAATAAATGTATTAGCTGTGCACTTATTATAGTGATGTTTCTGTCTCTATCAATACCAGAATATTAGTTCTCTCTGCTTGAATGAGAGCTGTTAGTAAATTTTTGCCCACTAATTTTTACAATAAAAAGAAAATAATCTGTTAAAAAGAAAAAAAAAAACGATAATCACAGAAATTGTATGTTTGACAGCCCTACAAAAAAAATCTATAAAGTAAAAGCAGTAACAGGAATGCCAAAAAGTCTCAAAAACAGCCTAACGATTGATGATTAATTGTCCTGTGCGATACAAGTATATATCGTTACCCTGTAATTAGCGGAGCGGTAAATATTCTCACAGCACAGTTTCCTGTGTTTTAATCTCTTGACCGATAAAAGCGGATCTGTGTCAGGCTAATGCAGGTTTATGTGGCGTTTCATAGCTTTGCAGATCCTCCAGTAATCTCTCATAAATGCAGCCACATATTTAGTGACGCTGCTGTTGATTGATTACGTTCTTTGAATATTACGCACTCATTATGAGGTTGAGTTGGCTCTCTAAACGCTGGTGACTCTCTAAGCAAATATGACTGCTTAAGTCGAATGCTTTAGTGTAGGTTTGGTTAATCTACACCTGTAAACACAGTGCGGTTATCTGTCAGATAGGCATGTTTACACCAGCGGCCCGTAATCCTCTCTAAACGCCCGCTTTTCTCCCAGTCAGTAATAGCAGGATAGAAATAGGGGTGTAACCATCCATCGATATGGATACAAATACAGACAAAATTACATCAAAATGCGCATCTTGGCGAATATCCTAGTAAACACAGTCACTTATATCTTAACGTGAACAGTTGAGAAAGAAACCGTGTGTGAATCAGTATCCATGCAATCCTCTTAAAGTGAAAGCAGACTAATAAAAATCCTAATGCTGTCTTGACTGAATAACGTCTGTAACATTAATAAGAATCTATATTTCATTTATCCAGTGAAGACTATGAAGGCTGTTTTACATTTGATTTCTTCATTACCTTCCTGAAAATCCTGAAAAGCACCGTTTATTTAATTTGTGCCTTTGTATTTATTTTCTTGTAATTCAGAAAAGATTCTTAGCACTGAGCCCTGCATTTGTGAGTTAATAGAAATGTAGCTGGTTGTGTAAAATAGGTACATAATATCGATAAATCGATCGATATACTCTCTGAATCAAATCGTATCGTAGAGATTTTTGTGGTATCTGCAAATATCGTATCGCTGGGTATTAAAATCAATATCATATCGTATCGTGACGAACCGTCGGATTCACTCCCCTAATTAGAAACAACTGTGTATATTTATATATTCCATATGGAAGCACGCAACAGCATTCAAGACGTGACGCAGTGTGAAACATTTAACTCTTGTAATGTAACATAGTTTTGAGTTTAGTTGGAAATAATGTAGGCCAGACTCGGATCTATTTTAAACTGTGGTTATGTTAGTCAAAAAGTAATTCAGAGGTGGAGAAAGTTATTACTTTCACTTTAAAAAGATTATGAAAATAATTTTTGGTAATACTTTACAGTAAAGTCCCATTCGTTAGTGTTAGTTAATGTATTAATTGACATTAACAATGAGCAATTCAGCATCTTTGTTACTGAACAAAGAAACTAAATTGGGTCTTTGTTAATGTTGAGTAATAAAATACTTTTAAATTACCTCAGGTTCATTAAATAATATTAACAGATGTAACTTTTGATTTTGATTATATGTTAGTAAATGTTATAAATAAGTATTTTTTTAGTGTAATGCAGTAATGTTAACAGTGGAACCTTCCTGTAAAGTGTATTTTAGTGTAAGTGGATTTGTATTTTATTTCTTCCCTGGATTAATGAATTTTCACAGTGAACCGGGAACATTTATTAATGAATCCTTTTTTTTTTTTTTTTTACAAACTGCCTCCGATTCATTTGAGCTTAAATACAT